AAGTGGTTCTGTGTTCATGTCCTGAAACTTCCCTGAATATGCTGGGCAGGCATGTGCCTGTGATCCAGGACTGGCTGAACCTGGGGACGGGCTGCAGCATCTACACCCTGGTGGAGGTGCTCTTTCTCTGTCTCTCTTGCTTATGGAATGAATGAATGAATGAATGAATAAATAAATATATAAATAAAAGAATGTGAGTATCTCATTAATATCTCTGTTTGATTTGACATTGCAACAATGACCTGGTTATATTAAAATATAGTATTAAAATTAATACTATAATATAGTAAAATATGGTATTATAGTATAGTAAAATATAGTATCAAAATATAGTTAAAATATAGTATTAAATTAATTTAGGGTTAAGAGTTAAAATATAGTATTAATTTTGCATTTCTTTTTATTTTTGTAAATGTAGCTCATAGAGAATTTTAAAATGTGTATGCAGCTCACATTGTATTTCTAATGGACAGTGCTGTTCTACATAGCTGTGTGGCTTGTTTGTTTTAATTCTATTTATGTGAAAATAACCACACAGGCTATCAGCAAGGCAAAAGGAGAGAATTACAAATTGAATAGTGGATGGGCTAAGCAATTATTCTAATTGTTATAGAAACACTAAACATTCTCAGATAAAAATTAGGAACATTTGCAGTTTTGCTTGCCTAAGATCTATTTTGCCTTTTTCTGGTAAACATCTCAGTTTTCTTTTAGAGACTCATTTTTCACACAGCTCACTCCAGGGAGCTTACCTATAGTCCCCTGCAGACCAGTGGTGGGCATATGATATAGGGTAGCAACTCAAATAACCACATCCTCTTGGCCAAAATGATTGGTTGAGTTTGGGCTATGTGATCCAGGGCAGGCCAATGAGATTCAATTCCATAACTTTTTTTTAGAACTATTAGGCAAGAGGAGGTCTCTTTATGCTGCCATCACTAAATGATGAGAAATCTAATTTGGAACTGACTACTTGAAATGAAACATTCTTGGTAACAAAAGCAATTAGATGCAAGAAGAGCTGATGTAAAAAGACGTAAAAAGAAAGTTTTCTGACAATACAGCTTGATCACCTGGATCCAGCTATTTTTGAAGCTGTAACCACCCTTAGACTCTTCCCTCTTAAGAGTTTTCAGTCACATATCCACTTTCGCTTTAGCTAGTTGAGTTGGGTTTTGGTTTTACGTATGTCCTCACTAAAATAATTACTAAGCAAAATATAAAGAAGCAAATGTACAAAAAAGGATAAAATAATTACTAAGCTACATGCACTTGCTAAAGACTTTGAAAACAGAATTAACAATTCTTCAAATGTGTGTTAATTCAGTGCACTCCAATAAAATAAAATCAATGAGTGATTTTTTATTAAGTTGGTAACTTTCTGTTAGTCATATTATCTTCTAATTAAACCCTTACCACCAGGACATAATATATATAACAATTTTGCATTAAACATTTTTAACATGGGAACAGCAGTTAGCGTAATGGCTATGTCGCTGGACTCCCACGTAGTCGACCATGGTTCGAGTCCTGGACCCGGTGGCTTAAACTCATGCCAGGCACATGTGCGTGCGTGCCCAAGATCCTGAGAGGAGAATGGAGGAGAAGGGATTGAGGAGTGGTCACCCCCCCGGGGGGTGATTTCTCGCTTTCTGTCTCTCTGTCTCCCTCTGTTTGTCTGGTGAGTGCACGCGCCCTATAGCAAAAATCTCCCCCCCCAAAAAAAACCCCACAATTTTTAGCATAATACCAAAAATGTGATGGGATCCTGCTTTTATGGGGTTCCAAAGATATATTGTTCTGGGCATCATAATGCTGGATGTTTACATTTGTAAAGTCTTATAGCCATACAGTCAGTTCAATTGTTTAAATGTGTAACTGCTGATAATTTATTGCTACTAAGATGCAGAAGTTTTACCAGAATCATTTATTAGTTACCTCAAGGAGATCTATAAGTTAATTTTGATCATCTTTGTGTTCTTCTTCTATTTCAATAATTTACTTAAAATGAAATATTATGTCATTGGGAAAGTCAGGATACATTTTTGCACAGAAAAACGTGTCAGGACTTTCTCGATGACCCAGTACATTACCCAGAAACGCTACCAATGTCCTAAACAGTGATAATGAATTTTAATTTCCAAGTTTTAATTTCACCCCATCACTGACTTTGTATTCTAATCAAATCAGGGCATCTGTACCTGTCGACTTACGGCCTATACCTTTACCTGTCCCTGTAAGATGCCAGTGCTTGGCTAAGAACTTACTCTGTCCTGAGTGGCACATAATCACTACTGTCTTAGTTATTTGGTTATATCTGTTGCCAGAAAAGTTTTGATGAATCGTAATACTGAATAATTTAATTTAGCTTTACCATGAACAAAGTTAAAAATAGCAAAAAAGCTGATGAAATTTTTAAAAGTAAATTCCTGTACATATACTTGGGTTACTGTCCTTTTTTTTTTTTTTTTTTTTTTTTTTTTAAGATAGTGTCTTGCTATGTTCAGATCCTCCTGCCTCAGCCTTATGAGTAGCTGAAATGGCAGACGCATGCCACAGTGTCCAGCTGTCCGGGAAGGCTAGATACTGAACCCAGACCTTCCACATGGCTTCAGCCTGCTGAGTAGCAGCGTCTACCAGTGTACACTACAGTAGCTGGGCCAGTCTCTCCGCAGAAGGTTGTGCACTTGCCAGAGAGAGACAGAAAGAGAGGGAAAGCAAGAAAGCACTCCCTTGGGGAATAGCCACGCCTCATTTCTTCTCCTCCATTTCTCTCTCCTTTTGGGATATTGGGTGTGGATAAGAGCCTGGCTTGTTTTTTTTTAAGATGACTGCCTGGAACTCAAACAGTTGGCCTTGTGGGATCCAGCTGCCCTAATCACCATGCAACTGGCTGGCCCCAATTTCTTCCTTTGAAAACCTATATTGGGACCAGCAGATAGCGTAGCAGTTATGTTGCTGGACTCCCACATAGTTAACTGTGGTTCAAGTCCCGGACCCAGTAGCTTAAAACTCACATGGGTGTGTATGCTTGCTTGCCCAAAATCCAGAGAGGGGAATGAAAGAGAAGGGATTGTGGCATAGCCATCTTCCCTGGGGGTGTGATTTATTGCTTTCTGTCTCTGTCTCTCTAGTGAGTGCACATACCTCAGAGCAAAAATTTCTCTCTAAAAAAAAAAAAAGAAAAGAAAAATCTGTATCATAACAATTGTAATTGGTAAAATATAGCATATATTCATATAGTACAATTTCTTTCAACCACAAAGGTTAATATTTTCTTATTCAGAAAAATTAATCTAAGGGCTTCGAATCTTTGGGTCTTGTTATCTGATATTATGTATTAATGTATATGTGCATAGATATACATATATGTATATATTTTTGGGTCTTGTTATTTGATAATGTTTGTCTTTGTATACATACATGTATACATGCACACATATTTTTATCCTGTATTCCCTATTAGAAAATTCAGTGTTTAGGAGAAGGACTATCTTAATTATATTTGTAATTATCCAACATAGCATGTTTAATGTATTAGTTGATTTTTTTATAAACAAATTCTTAAAAATTATTAAAACTACAGAGTTTTTACGCACATCATAGGACTATAAATAGCACATATTCTCGGTGACTACACACTTGTAAATAGAAATCATGATAAAGCAAACAGAAAATAAAATGTAAGACACATTACCTAAAAGAATACCATTTTGACCTACTCAGGTCTACCTTAGTGGGATAAGCCCCCATATCTACGTATTTGGAACAGACATCTCCAGACATAACTCCTGTCCCTATGTATAGAGTCACTCAGATCTTAATGCCCTTCACGTTTTTAGATGTCTATTCTTCATTTCTAGGCCCAGATGGCACCCCCTGATTTCAATCCAGTGTTTTTTGTATTGTTCTCTGAACCAACCCACGATTAGCCCTGGCTCTTCTTACCTATATTTTTAACTTAATTTAATTTTTTTCCTTATAGGGTGCGTGCACTTGCCTGTGAGAGAGAGAGAGAGAGAAAGTGATGAGTCACCCCCTAGGGTGGATGGCCACACCACAGTCCCTTCTCTTCCATTCTCTTGGGATTTTGGGTGAGTATGCACACACACACACACACACACACACACACACACACACACACAGTAATTTTCAAGCTGTCAGCTCTGGGACTTGAACTCTGCTCTGTCATGTGGGAGTTCAGCACCTTAACCACTATGCCACCTGATGGTCATTTTTCTTAGCTATCTTATTGTAGAGAATTATGCATTTGGTAAAATAAAATTCACTGAGACAAGGAGGAGTCAATGGCAAAATGAGAAAAAAAAATCTCATCAAAGCTTAGAAATGAATTGAGGATAATAGTCAAAGATCTTGGAAAAGGTCCTGATTTGGGAAGGACTAACCTCAAGAGCAGGTAGTGAAGCTCTGAGGAGGAAAGAGGCAAGCTCCAGGCCCTTATGCTGGGAATGAAACAACATCTGGGCTGGAAAGGTCTTGGAAGGAAGATCTAATTATTTATAGTGCCAAGAAAAACCATGTCTGACTGGGTGTGTGACACAGCCCCTGGGGGGAAGGAGTTATCATTGCTGTACTACAACCTCACCCTTAGAGTTACCTAAGGCTGGGCTTTCATGACAGTGTTTATAACTGATGGCCTTGGGGAGAGAGACTCTTCAGATAGAAGGGACACTAGGAAATTAAAGCTCTTGTAGTTTCTGAAGCTCTGGTTTCATCTAGGCAAAAATCAGCATTTATCTGACCACAATTACGGCAAATACCCCAATTGGCCTTGTGCCATCTTTTGAAGACTTACAGTTGTTGGCATGGTGTAGGTTTAGGTACTATGGCCACCTGGAACTCCCACCAGAAGTGCGTGTGTTGGGGTGGCAGGGGATGGGTCCCCTGGAACTCCCACCAGAAGTGCGTGTGTTGGGGTGGCAGGGATGGGGAGAGAAGAAAAGAGAAGAGGAGAGGACTTAACCTATGGAAAAAGTTACCTTTCTTCTTTCCTCTGCAGCCTCCAGTTTTTTCTGGATCTCCTCCAGGGACAGATCTTTCTTCTTTGGAGAAGCTAAAGTCCGTGGGGCTTCTGAGATAGGAGATGGTGGCTTTAAGATCAGCTCAAAAGCCTGGCCAGAGGCACGTTTGTTGATTTGTTTCACTTCCATATCTGAGAAATGAACATTTGAGGAAGTTAAGCATACGGAGCTTGAAGGATGGATTTCTTTTAATATTTTCAATTCCAGCCACTGGAAGTAGCATTGTTATTCTGGGAAGCAGGAATAAAATGTCATACATGATAATGCGCTATACCCTGTTTTGAACACACAAGACCTCTCTAGGACAACTATGGGTATATTTTAGCAGAATACATATTTGGTGTTGAAATTCAACAATGTCTATAGGGAGTTGAATAGTGGCGTATTTAAAAAAATAGCCTGAATTGATTTTAAACTCAACTTCATTTTCCTGTTAAATAAATATGAGCTCTGCATGAAAATTAAGTAGCACAGATTAATTATATTTTTAGGAAATTACAAGGACTGAAGGCATTTTTTGATTAGATAATGAGGAAAATAACAGAAATCTCTAGTTTTCACATACAAGGATGCTTTAAAAATTCATAGATAATGTATATGATGAAAAAACTATGCATGAATTAGGATTTTTTGCACCAAAAATTAACACATATTTGAATTCTACTTTTGTGAACTTTTCGAAGTCCCCTTGTATAATTATATATATATATATATGTGTGTGTGTGTGTGTGTGTGTGTGTATACACACATATATCAACATAATGCCATTATAATATAACCATTCCTGCAGGGAGGCATCATAAAAGCTATGCTAGAACCTCTGTAGCTCTCTCAACAGGGTGGCAAAGTCAGGGCTAATGTATGAACCATGTTGTCATGCCCTTCAGTATGTTTGTTGCTTTCAGTCACCAGGCATTTATAGTGTCCACTCTGGGGACAACAGTAACACTCTCTGATGTAGGGGGAGGGCTTATTCTTAAGGTATTTATAGTCTAATAGGTACAGCAAGATAAGACCCATTGTCATATCTTTTTTTCCCCAAATCTTTATTTATTTTTAATTTTATGTATTATCATTATTCTTCAATTTTGACCAGAGAGAGACAGACAGACAGAGAGAAAGGAAGAGTGAGAAAGCAAGCCATCAGGTCTGGAACTTGAACCATGGTCAGCCATGTGGGAGTCCAACACCTCAACCATCACACCCCATTGTCATATCTCTGCTCCTATTTTGTTGTTACTAGAATAGTCTCCCCCTGCATCATCTCAGCTGAAAATAGGAGCCAGGGCTGGGAACCAGCAGTTAGCGTAATGGCTATGTCGCTGGATTCCCACGTTGTCAACCGTGGTTCGCGTCCCAGACCCCGTGACTTAGAACTCATGCTGGGCGCGTGTGCGTGCATGCCCAAGATCCTGAGAGGAGAATGGAGGAGAATGGATTGCAGCGTGACCATCCTCCCTGGGGAGTGATTTCTTGCTTTCTGTCTCTCTGTCTCTCTCTGTCTGTCTGGAGAGCGCACGCGCCCTATAGCGAAAACCTCTCAAAAAAAAAAAAAAAAAAAAAAAGGAGCCAGGGCTCAAGGCATCACGGTGAAAAGAGGGAGGGCACAGCATTTGCTTGTCTCATCTATATACGTACCCATGGAATACCAGTGAGCCTCAAAAAGAAGGACATTTGCAATGACATGGGTAAACCTGGAGGACATTACGCAAAGTGAAATAAACAAGACATGCAAAGACCAATATTGCATGACCTCACTCGTATGTGGGATCTAAAGAAGTCAAACTCAGAGAAACAGGTTGTGGAATGGGGTTACCAGGGTCTTACGGTTGAGGGTGGGGACTGGGGAGATGTGAGCCGAAGGATACAAAATTTCAATCAAGAGGAAAAAATTCAAGAGGTCTACTGTACCTGGTGGGACTACAGTTTATACTGTGTATATTGTATTCTTAAAAATTACTGAGAGAGTAGATTTTAAGTATCCTCACCACAAATAACTGTGTGAGGTAATGCATATGTCAGCTTGATTTCTTCATTTCGTAATACATACGCATTTTAAAGCATCATGATTATTACAACTATATGTATATACCCTTTTTTGTGTCAATAAAATAGTGAAGAATTGTTAGCCTTTTTTTCCATCAGTAGCTTATGTAGTGAAGATAAGAAGATTATTAATCTCTCAAATTTTAACCCTGTGTAATATAAAATAATGTAAATTATAACGTAGAAGACTGACCGTTAGTATCTGCTAGAACATTTATAATTACACAGCTCACAACTTAGCAAAAAATATAATGATTTAAAAAAGAAATCTGTGGACAGGCCTCATTTACAGATGAGTCTTCTGTATTTCGAGGCTCTGATTGCACCCCTCTGATTTCGGCTCACTGGCCCTTGTTTTGCTCTCTGAACCTACTCAGGATTAAGTCATTCTCTGTTGTAGATCATAATCATCCAGGTATTTGAAAACACTGTTCATGGTTTGGATATGCTTTATCTCCCAAAGGTTCATGTGCTGGAAGGCTGGTCCCCAATGCAATCGTGCTGACAGGTGACGAGACCTTTAAGAGGTCAGCCTAGTAGATAGTATTTGGATCATTGGGGTACCATCCTCATGAGTAGATTAATGCCATCTCCTTGAAGGAGGGAGTGAGTTCTCACTCACAGGTAGGAGTTAGTTCCTGCATGAGCAGTTGTTATAAAAGAAGTAAGACCACTAGACCACTGCCCACAGGTCACTCTTTACCTCCAAACAAAGCTTCTTGCTTCTGTTGGCCACACTGTGTCGTAGAACCAGAGGTCAGCCAGGTGTTGACCCCATTTTCTTGGCTTTTGTAGCCACTATAATTGTGAACCAAATAAATGTCTCTTATTTATAAATCACCCACTGTCAGGTATTTCTGTTTAGCAACATGATAGTAGACTAAAATATAGTTTTAACATTTTGTTTCAAGTTTTCCCAAGACTAAACATCCACAGTGCCCTAAGATGACACTGTTTCTAGGTATTGACCACACTGCTCCCTAGCCTCCAAGTGCTTTTTAATTTATTTATGTTCCTTTTAGATTGTAGCAACCATGTGGACTAGGTCTCCACGCCAGATTTGACTGGAGCAGAGCAGAGAAGAAGCATTGCTTCTCTTGATGTGAAGATTATGTGTCCATTAATTCTCCTTTAGCAGCCTGCTTTAGTGCACATGAAGGTTGTGGTCGAGTAAAATCCAAGGCTGACAGGAAGTGACCTTAGAGCCTTAAATGCCAAGAGAGTTCAGACACAACTGACTCCTAAGTATTTTGGGAAGAATATGTTTTTTTCCCCACAAATAGAAAAATGCTTTAAATTTTCCTAACGGCACCCAAGATGTAAATATATTTTAAATATAACTCTGTAAAAATTATGTAAGCCTAAGGAAAAGGATTACAAGAGAACATGGGCAAATAAAAATAGCTTATTTGATAAGGTTATGGGATTTTAAATGGCTTAGTTTAGAGAATCTGGAATTAGAGCTGCTCGTATTTGCATCTGAACAGAGAGCGCTTCTTACTAGCTGCGCTATGCTGGGAAAGTTAATTTCGTTCTTTAAGCTTTAATTTCTTTATCTGAAAGATAGAGATAAAAAAAGAGCACCTTCCTCATAAGAAGGCTGTAAAGATGAAAAGATAAAGGATAATGAATGTAAAACACAAGCCGTGGCACTTAGTGTTTATAAATGTAAACAATGATAGTAAAGATAGTATTATTAACTGTTGTTATGTTTGTCTGCAATAAATAATTCACATTATTACCAACACAGAAACACAAGGCTCCATTAAAGATTTTGGAAATTGGAAATTCTCTACCAACTTTTTTAGGGAGCAGCCAACATTACAACATAACTTCTAGGACTCAGTGATACAGTTTCTGACTTTCTTCTTTACTCAGTGCCTAAACCAGCAAAACCATCACTGTCTAGTCACACTGTTGACAGGACAATCATTTGTGTACTGTGAGTGTCTTCTGCTAGGCCCCGAGTTCCTTAAGGTAAGGCCCCTGCCGTATTCATCTTTGAATCATCAGTGACAACTAAGAATTAATCATAGTTAGAGAGTCTCATAAAGGATATCTCTGGATTCTTAGTTGGTGTTATATCTAGTAGGTTAACAAGGATCTGTCTAATTTTATTTGTGGACTAAGTGCACTTTAACAAAGGAGACACTGCACGTGCATTCTAAGGAAAATTTTGGTTTGAAACTGAAACCTTTCAGCATGGAAGGCATTTCCTTATAAAACAGTGCTGATGAGGCTAGTGCCATTGTAGAATAACTCCGGAAAGAAAATGCATTTGAATCATGGAATAGGCTTTCAAGAAATAAAAGAGGTTAACTGACACAGGTCCCTTCACCTTGTCTTTAATGCTTTACTTTATGTATGTGGAAAATAAAAAAAAAATGTGATCCTAATGAGTAGCAAAATATGTCTCAGTTAACTCTATACATAGATGTAGCAAATATTTTCATTAAATTGAATCAAGTGAGGATCATATTATTGATAGCTCCCATCATTGAGTCTTTATAAGGACCAGGCTCTTGCTAAATGTTTGACTTGAATTAAACCATTTAAACTTCACAACAACCCCTGGGAGGAAGATGTTGGAGTTAAATGAGGCTCAGAGAATCTAAGTATCCACTTGTGTGAGGTCACACGGACAGAGCAGGAAGGAAATCAAACTAAGCATAATAAATCAGGACAGATCAACTAAAGGGTTGCACTTCAAGAACGTTAACCGCTATGCCGAATCTTTAGGCTTTCTTTTTTCTTTTTTTTTGGAGAGATTTTCGCTATAGGACGTGTGCGCTCGCCAGACAGACAGAGAGAGACATAGAGACAGAAAGTGAGAAATCACCCCCTGGGGGGATTGTCACACTGCAATCCCTTCTCCTCTATTCTCCTCTCGAGATCTTGGGCACGCACGCACATGCGCCCGGCGTGAGTTTTAAGCCACCAGGTCCGGGACGTGAACCGCGGTCGACTATGTGGGAGTCCAGCAACATAGCCATTACACTAACTGCTGGTTCCCTAGGCTTTTCTTTTTAAATAAGTTTTACATGGGGCTTTAGGCATTAGTAAGTTGTATTTATTAAGAAAATTATTATTAAAGCCTGTTGATGTGCATGAACAAAATATGGGAACTTTATCAAGATTCCAATTAAAAAAAGGGATGATGGTTGATTTTTTTCTCTTGTGTTTTGTAAATACAAAGCATTTTCTTGCAACTTACGATCTACTCTAAATACAACTTAGCATTATTTGCAACAACAGCTTTGGAGTATTGTGGATGTTGTCCTGCTGGGTGCTACAGCCAATAACAATCCAGCCATGTTTCTTAAGAGACACTAATGTGTTGCTATTAGCACCAAACTCACACTGTTTTGAGCAATAGGGAATCAATAAGACCTAATAGCCAGACAGGGCGAGTCAATAGTGAGATCTACAAAATATTGACTGGATTATATCAGGAGTGGTGAGAGTGAAACAAATATATGCAAGCTTTTCCAAATGATCTAGCTAGCAGGGGCATGTGTAGGGTGGGGAACTCACCATCGTAAGTATAGATGTTAATGTTGCGAGGCTCCGGGTAGAAGCAAGAGCAGATCAGTGACAGCATGGACAGCTCCTTCATTTTTTCCTTGTAGGCTGAAACGAAATACTCAAAATTAAGATCTTTCATGTTCTGAACTTCCTCTTAATGCATGTTTTCATTTGAATGATTATAGCCTTTTGCAGAATGCATATTTCCTGCATACTGCTTTCTTTGCTTTCACCAAATATGAATGAAGGCAAGACCTCAACAGAACCTTGTTGGGCATATCCCTTATTGCAGAGGACATGGGTTTCATATCATAGCAGGTTAGATAACAAATGAAAGAAAAGGAGTTAGAGAAAGAAAGGAAGGGAGCAGGAATTGAGATTTAGCAGGGCAGGGGCAGAGATAGAAAAGATAAGGAAGAAGAAACAGAGAGAGGGTCATTCTAGCAAATGTGCGTGTGGGAACACTGGACGCAAGAGTCAGGAGGGTGCCTTTGCTGGTTCAGCCTGAATCACCACACACTCACCTGGGGATAGCCAGAGAACTCAAGATACATGCTCCAGGGACCTACACTGCTGCTTTCTCTTTATCTCCAAGTGCCATTTTCTTATCTTTCCGTCTTTCCACATGCACCCAAAACCTGGATGTGAGATCTGGTAATGTGTGATAAGGATCTCCTTCCCTCCAGTGTGGGTGTCAATCTTGCCACGCCACTGCAGGAATTTACATTGTGAATTCCCAGTTCCCTCACCCCACCTCATCTCATTTAATTTTTTCATCTCTAGGAAGCTTTTGCCCAGGTACACTTGATGACTTCACTGTCATCGTCACGAGGACGAATGTCTCCAGACAACCAGATGGGAATAACAAGGTGGTATCCTCTCTCCTGTGTTAATTATTTAATGAAGGAAAATAGAAGGAAAAATGACAGGTATAATGTGAGCTAACTTGTGAGAAAATATAAACAGGTGGCTATGTTCTAATATTGAATCTCTTGGCAGGACCTTAGGGTCCTTACTCTAACAAAGGAAGGGCTGATACCTTGAGAAGGAATGTTCTCAGAGAAAGAGTTTGGGGCCTTTCAGATAGGTGCATCTTTACTTGGCTAGAAGGAAACAGATTCACAATCTGGGTGCTTTAGAGCCACAGAAAACTAGATTGAGAAGTTTCTAAGAGATCATTTAGTCCACTGTCCACACACCCCATCACGAAGTTTACAAATGAAGAAGCTGAGCCCCACAGAGGCCAGAGTCACATGCGGCCAGTGGAAAAGATGTGGCCTCTGGATAAAATGTAATTGGCCAGTCTATCTCGACACTGCCGAGAGGCCCTGTTCAAGCTCTCCTTTTACGACGAGGTTCAGTGTGCCAACAGGGCTGGGCATGTCGGTGTAGAGTTGAACCAGATGCAAAGACCCAACCTTGCCAACTGCCTCCGGCTCAGCCTAACATCCAGACGATCTGCAAAAAGAATTTCTACTTGCTTACTACCCTATAATAAGCAACACAATTTTCCACATACCATGAAAAGTCCTAGCAACACATGTTCTAAGAAACTGTATAGAATACCTTTGGCATTTTAAAAGACCAAACCATATTTCTGTTTTATTTGTTTATTTTGTTAACAAAATTACATCACATATAAAAGGTCAGGCATGTATGTTCAGTGAGAATAACAATATTATGGGACCAGCAGACGGCATAATGGTTATGTCTCACTGGAATCCCCCCTAAGTCGACTATGGTTGGAGTCCCAGACCTGGTGGCTTGAAACTTATGTTAGACATGTGTGCATTCTTGCCCAAGATCCTGAGAGGAGAATGGAGAAGATGAGATTGTGACATGGCCACCCCCACAGGGAAGTGATTTCTTGCTTTCTGTCTCTCTGTGTCTCTGGCAAGTGCATGTGCCCTATGGCAAAAATCTCTGAAAAAAAAATTCTGTAAGAGGATAAAACATTTGGTGGTTTAATACATTTAATACATTTAATTCCATGAGCTAACTGAAAACAGCAAGGCTTTGTAGGCAGGCATCTTTTTCAAGAGAATATAATATGGTCTCCAAAATAGTTTGCAAAATTAAGCACATATTAGAAGCACATAAAGCATATTTGATGCCAACCTTATTAAGAAGGGCCAATCCAAACTTAAAAATAAAAAGATTTTCCATCTTATTAAAGTGGTAACAGATAACAGCTGCAGAAGTAGGTGAATTTCTACTGAAGAAAAAATTCTTCAATATCTGTCCTTATTTTCTTGAACATGAAATTCAATAGTTTCCGGAAAGGCTGCTGCTTTAATTATGTTTGACAAGCTAATGAGGAGGGCAGTGTAAAGGCCGTCAGGGTCTGGGCCAGCATGTGGCATTGTGGGTAGGGACTCCCACAGAGCTGACTGCAGTTCAAGGCCTGAACCTGGCAACTTGAAAATCAGGGCACATGTGCATGCGTGCCCAAAATCTTAAGAGGAGAAGGGATTTCAGTGTGGCCATACCTCTGGGCAATGATTTCTCACTTTCCCTCTCTCTGTCTTTCTCCAGGAAGCCTCTACACCTTATGGCAAAAACCTAAGAAAAAAAAAAAAGAAAAAGGTTGTCGGGGGCCAACATATTCTCAGTCTCATATATAATCTATAATTCTTACTATTATAGACTGAATGTACCCTCTCCCAAAATTAATATGCTGAAACCTAAGCCCCAGGGTGATGGTAGTTGGGGACTTCAGGAAGTAGCCCTCATGAATGGGACTAGTGACCTGATAAAAAAAAAGCCAAAGAACTAGCTTAACCTCTTTCTGCTGTGTGAGGACACAGGAAGTTGACAAGCTACAGCCCAAAGAGGCCCTCACCTGAACTCTACCATATTGATGTTTCGGCTATCCAGAGCTGAGAGACAAAGTTTTGTCATTATAAAGTCACTCAGTCTGTAACACTCGGCTATAGCAGCCCGAACTAACATAAGGACTGCTAAAAATATTTGTTCTTTCCTTTCCTAGGTGGTCTGGGGACAAAACCCAGTGGACCTCTGTGGATAACACCCTTGCCTTAGTTGTTAGTTTTATACGAGTTATGACTCTAGATGATAGGCCTCACCAGTGGCAGCCACTGCAGAGGGTCTGACTGATTCAGGGGGTCAGAATCCCAGGAAACTCCATAAAGCCAGTGGCAACCACAGCCCACGCAGACCTGCAGCAAAGCCGGCCTTTCCTATGAGGAAGGGTCTCCTCTCCACTTGGTGCAGTTGCCCAGACTTTCCCAGGCAGCACTGCCTTCCCTACTCATCTCTAAAAGCTGCCCAAAATTTGAGTCCTAATTCAGACACCACCTCCTCAGCATTTTCTCCTTCGGGGGTTACTTGCACTGGTCTCTTACAGCTGTTAGTAGAGCATGCTACATGATCTTGATTAGATTGTTTAGGGAAATTCACAATTTTTTTAAGTGTTTTTTTTTTTTTTTTTTTTTTGCTATAGGATAAGGGTGCTGGCTAGAGAGAGACACAGAGAGAGGGAAAGTGAGAAATCATCCCCTGGGAACATAGCTACACCGTAATCCCTTCTCCATTTTCCTCTTGGGATTGTGGGCATGCACACACACGTACCTAGAGTGTTTTTCAAGCTGTTGGATCTGGAACTCGAATGCACAGTTGGCTATGTGGGATCCAGTGCCTTATCCACCACCCCACCTGCTGGTCCCTAGAGATGAACTATTTTTGGTGTATACTGTTTGTTAATTAAACTAAGCATCTTGATGGAAAATATTATATTTTACTTATCTGTGAAATCACAGCAAGGTCCAAATGGAATAGAATGCAGTTATTCAATAAATAGTTGTTGCTTGCTTATTCATTGGTTTTAAGTCAGTTTCTCAGTTAACAAATGTTTATTATCACCACCTAGGAGCAGGAGTTTCTGTGAAGCATTTCGAATTACAAACAGAAAAGAGCTCATGTTCTAAGGGAGCTTTCAAGTCAGGAGGCGAACTATATGGATATAAAAATGGATAAAAAAAAAAGATGCAAAAGGTGTCAAAAGGGGGGCCCAGGTGATTTGTAGTATCTTTTCTAAAGAATCCCAAAACCTTGGGACAGTAGGAGGGTGGTAGGAATGGCTTTGCAGTTAGGTCTGCCAGATGTAGTAAATAAAAATGCGGGATACATAGCTAATTTTCAATCCAAATATTGCATAGGGCATACTAAAAATAATCTATTGTTTTTCTAGAATTCAAATCTTACTGTATCTCATATTTTACACCGTGACCAGAGCAAATAAACCTGGATTGTAAAGACTGAACAGTATTGAGGAAAGTAGGGAGAGAAGAAAAGGTATATTTATTACTGCTGACGTGGAAATGGAGTTCTAAGGAGACTGTGTGGAGGCTTTTATAGATAGGGCAGTATAAAGCATGATAACCCCACTCCAGCAAGCATCCTTCACATCTTGGGCTTTATGAATGGCATTCTCTCTGCTCCAGGGGGCAGCCTTGTCACAGACCCTTCTATAATGCAGTTTTCAAGAGCTGCGTTCTGGCAGCAAATCTTCCAGGAGGCTGCTTTTGATCCAAGATGTTGGGTAAGATGTTTTGAATTTTTTCTCATGTAATTATGATTTAAATATTCTGTTTACATTAAAGTAAGTATGAATATAATTTGTGCTGGAGTGCCAAAGCCCCATGAATCTTAAAATGTAAATTTAAAAGAAATTTAGACTTGAGAACTCAGTTTTGAGTCACCCTTAGGAATATTTCTTTCTTTCTTTTTAGTTTACTTAGAGAGAGAGAGAGAGAGAGAGAGAGAGAGAGAGAGAGAGAGAAGGGGGATGCACATGCCCGACACTCAGGGAGGTCTCTGGACCTGAACCTAGAAGCTTTCCATATGGGATTGTCTTGCAGAGTATCATATTTTACAGCGTGTCACTGTCTAGCTCCCCTTACAAATACTTCTGTGAGAGAGTTTGGTAAGCACAGAGATGGCAGTGGAAGCCCTGGTTTGCCTGCACAGTTCTGCTGTGTGCCCATTAATAACAGTCCCTTCCTCTGCCTAGTGTCCCGGTTTGGCCATTATGATCATGCTAGCAATAGGGAGCCATGGCACACTTTGAAAAGAGGGATTACCTC